AGACAACCCCGTAACAATATGCGTTTTGTACTGCTGTTACACAGCACAAAACGCATAAAAAACGAAGGGTATTGTTCAGTAAACTGATTATTTTTCGTTCCTCAATGGTTAGGATTTAGATGCAGCGTCAGCATGCCAATTTTATTTCTGCTTAAACTTTTCTTTGGTCTTGTTTTGCAGGTGGTGGATCAACGATTATCGTCGAATGGATAGGGATGGATCTTCGCAACCGGACATCTATTCTGTCATTCGCAGCGGCCTCCTGGAAATTGCTTCCTCCCAACAGCCAAGGATTTCAGTTACTTCACCAGCAGCTTCAGCAGAATCATCGAGAATTCGAATCAAAGCTGAATTTCGAGGTGAAAAATTCTGTATCGAAATGAGCCGGCCGGTGCGATTCAGTGACCTGGAGAATCATATGAATTCAAGGTATACGAGAGCTAAATTGTTGATTGTTAAATCTTCTCTGCCAATTTCTTAAAAAAAAAACCCAAAATGTGTTTGCAGTCGGTAGTAGGACTGACACTTTTCACTGTTGTAGCTTCGAAGCTCTTAGAATAAAATTTTGTTCCACTACAGGTATAATCTGAGGCTGAACATTTACTACACGTTACGTAATAATGAACTAGTGGTGCCGGTTCGAAATCAGCTGGACCTTGATCGAGTGATTGAGCTTTTCGACCGTGCTTCAACGCAGCGAAGCTTGCGCCCTGCCGTCAAGACATCAGCCGGATTCTGGATTACCTTGCACTGCCGATAGCTCACTGATTCCAGATGCCTCTGGAACATTCACGGCCATTCATTACAGAAGAGTTAAAATCTCCGTATTCGTCATTTACAAGGGGTGTAAATGTGAGGTAGCCTGAGTTAGCATCTAACAATAACGCCCCGTTTCCCCATCCTCTACTTCGTCTCCCCCCCCCCTCCCCCGCGTCCTCCCCGTCGCGCCTCCCTCCTTCCCACGAGTGGCAAACAAATTGATGGCAGAGAAAAAATTGTAAAAATTAATATTTTTGGTGCAAAATGGCAATTACCGTTTTTCGAAAATCGCCAATTTCTTTAAAAAAAAAAAACCCAAAATGTGTTTGCAATCGGTAGTAGGACTAACACTTTTCACTGTTGTAGCTTCGAAGCTCTTAGAATAAAATTTTGTTCCACTACAGGTATAATCTGAGGCTGAACATTTACTACACGTTACGTAATAATGAACTAGTGGTGCCGGTTCGAAATCAGCTGGACCTTGATCGAGTGATTGAGCTTTTCGACCGTGCTTCAACGCAGCGAAGCTTGCGTCTTCTGCTGTCAAGACATCAGCCGGATTCTGGATTACCTTGCACTGCCGATAGCTCACTGATTCCAGATGCCTCTGGAACATTCACGGCCATTCATTCAAGAATCCTGGAGGTAACAGAATTTCGAAGTTTCAATCGTTAGTTTAGTTTTTTGAAAATGAACTTTACAAATGACTGAGTCGCAGTCGCTAGAATTCACAACAGTCTTCGCCAAACAAGGACCTTGAGATATTATGCTGCGAAGTTATTCTCCATATTTCAAATTCTGTGTGGGAAGGAAGCTCTCGGAGGTAATTCAAGTGAATGATATTCTGGCAACAATAAACGCTGGCAGACAAAAGAATAATGCATATTGTGAAACGTTTTCCATAAGTATAGACCCTAAACTCTGTTGGTTGGCCAGTAGCGGAAGATCGCTGACCGCATTTCCTTTCGCTAGCTTGACCTACTAAGGTCTGCGAAGGCTTGGAAAAAGAAACCCCACCCAAAAAAAGAAGGTTCAGTGGCAATTTAGAAGAGACAGGCGGAAGGAAGCAGTAGAACTGAGGGAGGCAAGCTTTTTGAAGAAACGAGAAGTGGACTAATGTGAAGAAAGTTTTATAAAGTTGTTGCTTTGGCAATAAAGGACTCTTGCTTATTCTCTGACAAAGCTAGCCAAAACAAATTTCTTTCTTGTTAATGCCTCTCTCAAAGAGGTTTGTTTAGAAGCAAGCTAATTACGGTTCTAAAGTCTCTGTTATCAATCATATCAATTTACCGGCAGAAATGAATCGGCAGCCACTGACTAAAGAGATATGAACTCTGAAGGGGTCGAATCATCGATTTCGACTTGTGGATAACGCCGACGCTACAAGTCCTAACATTTTTTCGATGATGGGGTTACAAAGTAGGAGGAAAAATTTCAGCTCAGATGTTTTTACTTGCCCACCCACTGAAAAGTTTTCCACTCATTAACAAACCCAGTTTGTTTATTTATTTAAGATAACTTGTTGATTGTAGAGGGCAGTATCGCACTTTTATTAAAATCAATCTGAAAACATTTATGGAAGAAATGATAATATGATTCTAGGGCAAAACGGTCCTATGGCTTGAGAACTTTTGTAAGCATTGGTCATTCAACGCCCTTAGTTTGCTATCACAGGAACGTAACTTAAACCGCTCGAAACAAATCGATTTCTTGAAAGTTGTAGCTTTTTTGCCCACCACCGCGAGGAAGTTACGCGGGCCAAACTCCACGATACTGATAAGCAAAATAAAAATATGAACCCAGGCTGGAATGCACCAGGCTTGCCAGTGCGATCACGAGTTTTTGCATCAGACTTGAAGTACCCAGATTATTAACAGCATGAATGGTGCATAAATGTTTAATGCTTTACATCTGCTCTTTACGATCCTATCGTAAATCGTCATAAATTTTGCATAAAGGAAATGAACAATTTCTGTTTTAACGACCGTTCTTTGAAAATTACCGAGCTGCTCGCTGAGCAATTTTCCCGTCTAAAATTTCAAATACTCGTGTGTGAGAACCACAAGTACCTGAAGACTGGGTGCAAAATCTTTAAGAAGCACTGGATGAGGAACATACCCTTAAAATTTCAGTTTCCCAGCTTTTCTGGTTGCCGAGTTAGCAATTTTTCCAACAAAAATTTAACACGCCTGTGCATA